TCTCTCTCTCTTTCTCTCTCTCTGTGTCTCTGTGTGTCTCTGTGTGTGTGTGTGTGTGTGTGTGTGTGTGTGTATTTACGCAAAAAATCGAGCGCATCCAGATTTCCAAACGACCACACAGATGTTGGTGCCTGGTTAACTAACGAATCTGCTTCTACACTTTTTCCAAAGGCTGCGGAAACTGATGGAGGTGGTTTAATAGGAACCGGCCATCAGTAGTTCATTGTGGAATTGCAACCTGGTTTATGAGATCCCTCTGGTGACGATCGGCGGTGGGGGGTGGGGGTTACCGCTCTGACACTCTCGAGTATTCTCCTTTGCCTATGTTTTGTGCAGGTTGGTGATAACTCCATTGATATCCCTGAAGCAAATGTCATCATTCAGATTTCTTCTCACGCTGGTTCGAGGCGACAGGAAGCACAGCGACTTGGTCGTATTCTTCGAGCAAAGGTCAGTCGATTTGTGTTTTTTTTTTGGTTTTTGAACCTTCTTTTTTCTTTTTTTCTTTTTTTTTTTGGTACGTGTTTAGCAGTTAGCCACAAGGAAGGCCAGTTAGTTCAAAGTACGTGTGGTGTACCCATGTCAAGAGTTGCATGTGTTTACCAGTCAGCCACAAGGCAGGTCAGTCGGTCCATTTCTGGACCATTTTTTTTCTTTTTTTCAGGGCTGGGGGTGGGGGGGCGCCGGTGTTGGGGGAACTGCACCGTCCTTCTTAAAAACTTGGTTGTATTCTTCGATCAAAAGTCATGTTAGCAATACACACCATTTAGCCCCGGGTAGCCCTGGCATTATTGTATCCGTCTGGGTCGACTAGGACTCGAGCTCATTATCTGTTTCTTAACAGTCAGCCGTGCCTCTGATTCAGCCATACTCGCTGGGTAACACTATTCTCAGCTTGATGATTGTTATGGACTCATCTCTGCTTGTTTTTAGCTATAAACCATGGCTGTGCCGGCAACCGGCCGGTTGGACCGGGCCGGATCCAACCGGGCCGGTTGGACCACCGGCTGGTTGGACCCCCGGTGGTCCAACCGGAATTCCGGTTGGGCCCAAAAGTGGGTCAATTTTTTTTTATTTTTTATTTTTTTGAAAACATGGTTGGACTGCGCTCGCTGAGATCTCCCCGAATCTGCATAGAAAGCTTTGAACAGAGAAGTTTCGTTTGGGGGGT